TGGCCACAGGAGGAATCAGCGTGGAAAAACGAGTCGGGGGTATGAAATTTACCTCGATCGGCGGTCGGAAATTTCCCCGGCGCGGCGGCGGGTGGCGGCGGCCAGTTTCTGGTTTGTCTTCTCCGGCGAGCGGCAGGCGGCTAGGGTTTGTGGTCTGGTGTGGGGGTTCTATTTATAACCCCTTGCCTTTTGATCTCAGCCGTCCATTTTGTTTTAATCTGGGCCGTTCGTTTTTGATTGAATCTGGGCCGTCCGATCGCGCTCACGCGGATCGCCAACGTGGCCCGTTCCGGAGTGACGTGGTCTTGCCACGTGGCAGGCCCCGGTTGGCCGGGATTGCTGACCGGGGCTGCTGACGTGGCTGCCGACGTGGCTTTTTTTTTTTTTTTTTTCGGCCCCTTTTCTCCGGGCCCTACAATTTTCCTTTAAATTTAACTTTAAAGTTTATACCATTACCTTATACATTGATTAAAAGAAAATATCCATGATGTTGATACTTTTTTATTGTTTATATTGACAACTTCATACATAAATATACATATATATACACACCCATATATAGATATTTCAGATAAATTAAATATAAAACTACAAGTAAATTGGTTCCAAACAAAACCTCTAACTCGATGCATTTAGACAAAAGTCAAATGTTTGTCAACTTTTTACACGTAAATGCATGTATAATGCAAGCACATTTGACGTGACAAACAAATGGTTAACATATCCAAATATTATTGAATAATTTGTAGTATGATAATTCAAATAAAAAAAAAAAAAACTAAGTTCCACCGAATTTCTCTTTTGAAAAATCACAAATATTTATGTACATTCATCTATATATTATATATATATATGTATATGTATATCTTGTACATACCTCACCAACTTTTCCTAATCAATTTCCATCAAGGTGATTTTTTTTCTTTATTAATTTCAATTAATTTTTAATGTTTTCGTCTTTATGTGCATCGTCTATACCTCAAAAAATTTAAGTAAATTATATCCCAAATGAAAACCCACATGAAATTTTGAATGTTCAAATCAAAATTATATAGAAAATATAATATAATCTAATTATCCCATTATTCTTCTTCGAAATATAACCCTAAACTAAGTTGATCACAAGAGAAACATCAAATATATATATGTGTGTGTATATTTATATATGCTCTTCTTACACTTATTTCAATTTTAAAAATAAAAACCCTATTAAAAATTGGATAAAAATAAATTAATATATTTTGCATTTAATTAAATGTCGCAAGCAAAAGAAAGTAAAATGCCAAACATTCTACGCACGGGAGGGGCATGTCATGATACATTGTGAGAATGAAAGGAAACATGGGGGCCTTCTGTGCATACGTCGTCGTATTGGTTTTCAAGTGGGAAATTGTCACATTACTATGAATTTTTTGAGACATGGTATGTACTTAAATTATTATATTTTATTACTTATAATTGAATGCTTTTGACAAATTACTAACCATACTTAACTATTAAGAAACAATTTGCAAATTTGTCTTGTCTCTTTTGTAAATGTAAGAAAAAGAAAAGAGGAAATCCTACCATATTATATATATATATATATACACACACACATATAATAAGATATCGATATATTATATAATATAACAATATATAATAAGATACCAATATATTTGGTACAAAAGTAGGCAAGCATTTATATTGGTGAATAGGAGGTTTAAAAGTTAATTATAAAGTATTTATTACTTATCGGATTGTAATTGCTATCATATTAGGTTATACTATTATAGCTGTAAAGGAAAAGAATTAAAATAGTGGATGTAATACCCAAATTAATTTTAATGCAATTTAAATTAATTTATGAATATAATTTTTTAATTTTTTAATTTTAATTTAATGTAAAAATGAAAGAAAATAGGTGGATGATGAAATTAAAAATAATTTTGAAAAAAATGAATAAAAATTTGGGTTATGAGAATATTTTTAAATACCTCCATGACCAAATCGGAACAAAAAGACCAGCGGATTGGCCAGAAACTATAGGCAAAACCTGAAGGTGTCACTGCTGAAAATTACAAAAATCGCCTCCGATAAGTCCCTTTTCGATTCCCGTTCTGCATAATTCTTCCACCATTGTAATAATCGTTTCATTCTCTACAGGTTGACCGAAGTAAAATACTTAACCACAAAGGTCAATCGGTGGAGCCACCGCACCGGAGAACCCCGCCGCCGGTGAGTTTCGTTTTTTTTATTTTTTTGGGCCAATCGAGACCCTTTAACATATTTTTTCGCATGGATTGATGTAAAATCGGCCGAAAACAGCCGACCTGAGGCAAATTGCCGCCATGCCAAAATTCTGAAATTGGCCAAAAATGGGTCATGACACTGATTTTGGGTTTTTTGGGATATTTGTAGGTACTTGTAGCGCGTTTTAATCTCCGAAAAAAAATTCAGGGAACCCGAGGAATATTAGTAGGCGCAGTCAACAAGATTAGCATTTCATGCATCAATTTGAGTGAGAATCTTTCACCATATTCTCTGTTATGGAATTGAAGTCAAATTAACAATAATACGGTATTTTGTGCAATTTAAAAAAATATCTATAATTAATTACGGGTTACTAATGGAGTCAGAACTGGAAATTATTCACTGTTGATTCTGTTGATTAATTTTACAGTTTGAATGCATGATAGTATCTGATTGATCGATTTTATAGTTTTGAATGTATATATTATTTGTTTTATGTGATAACGGTTAAATTGAAAAACTGGAGATTAAAGGTAAACAGAAAACTGTGTGATTAAGTGAATGATGAAATGACAGCCTTACTGGATATCCTGGAAGATGGTGGACGGACTGGGTGCATAGAAAACTCTACCGTGAATGTTGCCTCATAGCAAACGGGGTATCGAGACTTGATAATTTGGTGCTCATACTGGATGGGGTATGGGACGACCCGTTTCACCTTCATACCGGACGGGGTATTGAGGTTTAATAATTTGGCACTCATACCAGACGGGGTATTGGGACCATCCGTTAATTGAAAAAGTTAAAAAAAAGGGTTCACGCGTTGTGGAGACATCTCTATGAACCCTAATAGATACCAGTAGGCTGATAAAAGAAAAAAATGTTGTTCCAATCAATTACATATGAAATCATGAGATGTGTTATATTATTGTCTCTATAAGTTATTTTGTAAATGCGTTACGGCATGTAGACGGTAAATAACTTTATTTATGATAAACGATTTCGCTAAATTAAGAGCTTAATTAGTTATTTTTATTATTTATATCAATCTTCATTTTTGTGTCGGTGAGTAGTGTGATATTCTTACTAGGTTAATGTAGTTCATTCATTTATTAACCATTTCAGATCAAGAGAATCAGGATTCAGAGCCCGATCCATAAGAGGGTTGCGAATATGATGCCAACTTTATTTATTTTCTTGTTATATTTTTAATTTCTTGTATTTCTCTCTAAAGGGTCATTCTATTAGTGCTACTTGCTACTTTAAGTCATTGTGTAAGGAATAGGGGGATTAGCTATACTAGCTCAGTAAAAATATCACATTAATCATTGATATAAAAAAATCGAATATTAGTAAAAATTATAAAATAACTAATGGAGCCATTAGTTTAGGTAAATTCATTTAACATAAAAATAATTTATTCTATACTTAAC